GGCCCGATACCGATACCAGTATCGGTATCGGTGCATCCCTAGCAGTAAACACTCCTGTCATTGGCTAAAAAATTAATGGGAATTCCTAATCCTAATCGTTATCTAAAATAAAATGGAAAAACAAAAGTAAACAAAACAACTTATTTCATTTTAGCTTGTTGCCTAAAAATATTTTAAACTATTTAAAAAAAATGAATACAACTATAAAAAATGTGACCCTGGACCACAAAACCAGTCTAAGGGGCCGTTCACATATAGCGTAAAAAACACACACACACACACACACACACACACACACACACACACACACACACACACACACACACACACACCTGTTGGTCCACAGCCACGGCATCTAAGCCATCATACATGATGTTGACCCAGCCATCTTTAGATGACAGGACGAATAATGACATCAGTGCCTGCAAAACAGAGATAAAATGGATTAATGTGAACAAGAGAATATTTTACAGAATGACTCTATCACTGTCAACAATATGAATATCTGTAAAATACTGAAGGGAAGGTGAGATGAACAAATGTTTTGCTCAGTTGGGAACAACTGCACAGAGAAAAATAAAATAAAAAATAAATTCTATATATAAAGTTTTCTTCATGAAGTGTATTGTTTACGACCAATAAGATTTTTTTTGTTATTGAAAGAAGAATGAAAGAATAGCATCTCTTATGCCTATCAAAAATAAAACATTTATCAAAAATACAATAAAAGTAGTAATATTGTTAAATACTATTACAGTTTGAAGATCTTTTCTATTTTAATATATTTTAAAAAGCAATTTATTCCTGCAATCCCAGCCATTACTCCAGTCCTCAGCATCACATGATCCTTCAGAAATTATTATAATATGCTTATTTGCTGCTGAAGAAACATTTCATATTGAAAACAGTTGTACTGCACAATATTAATATTTATTTTTAGGATTTTTTGATGAATAGAAAGTTCAAAAGAATAGCATTTTTAAAAAAAGTAACAATGTAAAATAATGTTGAATAAAAGTATTTTATATATATTGTCACGGGAGGAGCACACGACAGACACAGTGGGTGTCATAGAGGACCTACAATAATGTACAGTATTTGAAAAATAATGTGTTTTTTGAACATTAAAGCATGTCAACATATTCTGTTACACCAAATACACAAAATAATGATCTTTAAAATAGCATCATATGACCCCTTTAAATGTTATCTGTAATAAAAACTTGTTTTTATGACAGATTTATTAAAACATACATTCAATTATTTTTTCATATTTCATTATAAAATTGACAAAATTTGAAAGCTGAGACTTTGTTTCATTTTAAAAGTAAAAAAACCCCACAAAGTTCAGTAGGATTTTTGGATTGTAGACTTGATAAATACAATGTTTAATGAACTTTTGTTCATGCATCACCTGAAAACATAAAATAAAAGCATAGAATACAATCTTGGTTCATCAAACTGAAGACTGATTCAAATTGAGAATCGATATTGTCAGTCCAGCAGTTTCAGCACCGTTTCAGTCAACAATTTCGGCTCTCCAAAACTATTTCAGCCAAAATGGAAAATTCACTTTCACCTGAATACTGTTGGTTGCCAAAATTCAGAAAACTGAAATGGAGTTGTACTGTATACACAACATTTATTGAGCATTTTTGGAGTTCACCAGCTCTGGCCCCACTTCACTTTCATTATATTGTAAAAGAGCAGTGTGAACATTTTGCTAAACATCTCGTTTTGTTTTCCTTGGAAAAAAGTTGAGTGAATTCCAGCTTTAAGAATATTACAACAGCCTACACCAGAGGACTTAATGTACTTCTACTCATTCATACACACCTTCAATGAGAGTCTTACCTCAAGGGTCTTAGTGTTCTGAGCAGTCGCAGTACTCGCAAGATACCCAGGATTCTGTTCCCGCCAGAGGAGGCGAGAGAGACCAGGATGTCCACAATAGACACAAATACCAGCAGGCCGTCTAGAACATTCCAGCTGCTCTTCAGGTACGAGCCTGGACCAGCATACAGCCCAAGAGAAACCACCTGCAACACCAACAAAATAGCAATCATAATCAATGTCATCTGCATGTCATATTTATTTTTTTTACTAGTATATAAAAAGTTATAAAAAAAGTTAAAACAACCAATAATACAAAATTAATATTGTATTAATTTCCTACCTTCACAGTCATCTCAGCCACAAAGATCACAGTGAAGATGCAGTTAGACACTTTAAGAAACATCCGCTCCTGTAAAACAAATAAATAAATAGTGAAAATGTAATTTAAAATGGCAACAAATGCACCACATAGGGGCCAGTAAAAGAGCAGCTATTTAAGTCACCCAGTTATTTTTTACAGCATTTATTTCATTTTTTTTTTTTCACATATTTTTTTCACAATTTTTATGACTGAGATTGAGGAATTTTTTTAGGACAGTTTGTTTATGGGTTTATAGGTTACATGCAACTTTAAAATGTTTCAAAAGGTTAGAATCATACAGTTCTGAAATCAGTTAAAAATATGAACCCACATAATCATTTATTATGATAAAAGAATATTAATGATTACATTTAAAAATTCTCTATAAATTTACTAAAATATTGTAAATGTAAAGTTCTGCCAAGTGATACAGTTCATAAGTCTGATAAATTTACAATATTTATATAGATTTGGCCATTAATATAGAATTTAACTGCTGTGCGATCATAGGTATGTATTTATCGGCTATTTTACAGTAGCTTTGAATGCATCAGATTTCAGTAGTTTCAATAATACAGTGACATGTACATTACTGTTCACATGTTCGAGTAATTTTAAAAGAATGTTTTTTAAATTAAATTGTGAGTAAATTTTTAAAGAAATTAATACTTTTATTCAGTATGGATGCATTAGATCAAAAGTAATCGTAAAGAAAATTATAATGTTACAAAAGAGTTATATTTCAAATGAATGCTGTTCTTTTGAACTTTCTATTTATCAAAGAATCCTGAAAATAAATTAAGCAGCACAACTCCTTTCAGCAATGATAATAATAAGAAATGTTTCTTAATACATCAAATCAGCATATTAGTATGATTTCTGAAGGATCATGTGACATTGAAGACCGGAGTAATGATGCTGAAAATTCAGCTTTAACATCACAGGAATAAATGGCATTTTAAAATATATTAAAATAGAAAACATGTATTTTAAATTGTACTAATATTTCACAATATTGCTGTATTTTTGGTTAAATAAATGCAGCCTTGGTGAGCAGAACAGACTTCAAAAATATCAAAAAATCTTCCCCACCCCAAACTTTTGAACTGTGAAAAATTTAAGGGGGTCTGAATACTTTCCGTACCCACTGTATAATAGAGCTTGATGATAGCACTAGAATGAGTGTTGTGACTGTGTTCACCGTGCTGTCAGGTTGGATGTCAGGTCTCTCTAGAGCAATTGTGATGCAGTTAAAGAAGATGAAAAACAGCACAATATGATCAAATATCTTATGAGTGATGACCTTTTGACAGCGCATACGGAACCTGCAGAGAACGAGAGAGGAAGAGCAGTGTGAATAGCATAGAAATGTGCAAGCACAGCATTCATTATGTGTTTATATGTGTGTTTTGTTGGTCTGCTGTGTTAGCACTCACTTATTTTGGGGCGAAAATAAGTAAAGTGACCAATCCTCATGGTCTCTACACCACTGGGGTTTATACGGCTCCAACAGTCTCTTCACAATCAGACACCAGCTCTAAATGAAATATAAACATAATAAAAACATGCATAAGGAAAACAAAGAATAGAAATGCATATTTTCTAAGAAAATATATTAGCACATATGTAATATTTCTATAAAATCTGCAATATTTAACAATGCCAAGAATATCTGATCTACGTGACTGATATACTGTAATAGTATAATCAATAATAAAAAATGATTAAAGACAAGGCCCCACCTCCTCAAATTCATCATCATCTGCGCACTGTGTGGATGGTGGATCGGGACGTGTTATGTTGGGAGAGGATGGATAACCTCCATCTATTCTGCCGTTACACTCCAAATATGGGCGTGGAACCTGGAGGAGCTCTGGAAAATCAAACGACCCCAGACACGAAACTCCACCCAGACTGCCAGTCCTGCTGGATTTCCCATCTTCTGATTGGCTGTCATCCATGCTGTCCTGTCCCACTCCTAAAAGCAACGATTCACACTCCCCTGACTGAGCACGTCTCATTAGACTGGGGGCGTTGCCAAGGCTGTTCCAACTGGAGCGGCGACTTCCCCAAAGGCTGGACTACAACAGACACACAAACTGTAGCTGATTATCACAGGATGCAACAACTGGTGTAGTATGGCAGAAAAAAAAAAAAAAAAAAAAAAGAAATAAGTTGACACGTATACAATAATGAGAGGGACAATATGGAGAATTTATAACCACTTAGATATGACAATTTAGATGTGTCGATTAATTAATCGAATTAATCGCAAATTAAATTTGACTGTGAAATAGATAATTTAAAGCCATTATTGTGCTAAATGAGAAAGTATCAAGTACAGACATTACAAATTGTAGCTTTAGAAAGAAATATTTAATTTGATTAAACATAAAATTTATTACACATAAACATTTAGGCTACAACGGCCTAAGATAAATTATGGAAAATAAAGGAAGATAATTTATCTCAGTATTTTTTGTTCATACAATGAAAGTCAAAACAAAAATTTAATTCAATTCAAGTTTATTTGTATAGCGCTTTTCACTATACAAATCATTGCAAAGCAACTTTACAGCAAATTATGTTTCCATAATATTTAGGTGTTTCTGTGTGTGAGTGTGAATCTTACTGAAAATGGCAGATTAAGCAGTTTATATTCTGAATTATAGGGCTGTCAATAGATAAAAATTTTTAATCTAATTAATTACATGATGTTTCGATTAATTAATTGCAAAATAAATTTGACTGAAAATACCTACAAAAGATTATTTAAAGCTATTTTTGTGTTAAATGAGAAAGTATCAAGTAGACATTACAAATTGTAGAGTTTTTTCAACATAAAATTTATTACACATAAACATTTAGGCTACAACGGCCTAAGATAAATTATGGAAAATAAAGGAAGATAATTTATCTCAGTATTTTTTGTTCATACAATGAAAGTCAAAACAAAAATTTAATTCAATTCAAGTTTATTTGTATAGCGCTTTTCACTATACAAATCATTGCAAAGCAACTTTACAGCAAATTATGTTTCCATAATATTTAGTGGTAGCTTATCAGTGGTGACTGTCAGTTAATGCACATATGGCAGAAATGTATGGAAAAATCAATTAAAGACAATCAATTTAAAGATGTAATCAAACAGACGATGAACACTATTAACAGCAATTATTATATGATGCAATCAAACTTATAGCAAAATTTGGTAGTTCTGTATGTTGTTTCAGAGTTGGCATCATCCGAGGTTCTCTGAGGGGTTGGCATCATCTCTTCAAAAACTCTTCAAACAGTCTTTGTCTTTGTTACCATTACCAACAGTCTTCAAAATACCTTCTTTTATGTTCCACAAAAGAAAGTTTGAAACGACATGAGGGTGAGTAAATGATGAGAGAATTTTAATCTTTTGGGTGAACTATCCTTTTAATGTTTTTATTTTTATAATTTTTATTTTATTTTATTTAAATTTTTTAAATGATAATCTAAATAAGAAACTACATCTGCCAGCAGGTGGCAGTCTTTATGAGTCATTTATTCATTCGATTCGTTCAAACGGCTGATTCATTCAGGAATTAAATAAATGGCTCTCTTTATGAATGAGCCTTTGAATCACTGGTTCACACGATTCGTTCAAAACGCGGATTCATTCATAAACTAAACACCTCCATGTTGCTCAGAGATGCACAACAATTCTGCTGTGGCTTTAAGAAATATGTTCTCTGCAAAATTGAGCAAAAACAGATAATATTGTGTTTGAAATATAATACAATATCAACTTCTTATTTACTGAACTGTTGTAGGCTATTAAAACACTTTTAAACTCGTGGTATTCAGGACAAACAACACCGTGTGTGATATTGATCTCCCTGCTCGTGTGATATTGCTTATCATATGATATAAATACGAGACTCATACAGGGGCATTTTTTGTACCAATATCTTGAATTTTACGGCATAACTGCATTTATGGAGTTGTTGCCCTGCATCATATTTGTCAACAGTCAACTGTATGAAATGTAAGATGATGTACAGATCTGGGGGCGGGGCCAGTGCGTTAAACTGACAGCCTTAATCTATACATTAGTGCTGTCTAAATTAACACAGGCGCATTAACACAGGCGATTAATTTTTCCAGTTTAATGGTGTTAAAAACATATAAAATATAACAGCAGATGAAGTTATAGATATCTAGATGTGTTATGCTTTGCTTATAGTTCAATAGGAAACCAAAATTCCAATCAAACAAACAAACCAAAAAAAAAGGCAATAAAAACAATAAGATGCCATAATTAAACCACTTTAACGAAGAAAAAAATCTTCAGGTGAAAGTTTGCGTTTAGTGTGAAAAGCCTTAAAAGGGATCATTCTAATATGAATATAGAACAAAACATCAATTCAAACGTTATGAGACTAACACTATTTGTGTAGGTTTATATGTAACATTCACTCCTCACCAGGGATCTCTGGTCATGCGGCTCAGTGGAGGTGTTGCTGTTGCGCCGTGATTGGCTGTAGATGTGTGACACCTCAGTTCTGGGTGTGGCGTTGAGCTGCATGTGTGTGTTGTGAGGTGGCATGGATGCCCGAGGTTCCAGGTGTCCGTTTGAGATGGGCATTAATGTCTGCATTTTCATCTCTGATCCTAATATCAACAAGAGATTAGCATAAAATAATAAAACACATATAAACAGCACACACACACAAACACACACACACCGGAGTTCAGCAGTTCTCTCAGTTTGTCCTCATCCCCATAGTCAGACGACATGTCATCATCAGTGTCTGATCTGCTAGCATCACCCTGAAAGAGAAACAGAAATGACATTTAAAGGCTAAAATTTTGAATTCATAATAATGAATCATCAAATTTTCACATCAACCCAAATCCACACAAGGCCAGCATAAATAAATGCAGAACAAACACAATTACATTTGCTCTTTCAAGGGTATGCAACTCTCTACCTTCTAATCTCATGCTTAGTTAACTTAGTTGTCCTCGTCCTATTTCCTGCGAGTCATTGAACTTCCTTTGCCTATGCATTTAAAATCAACAGGAAACAGCATTCTGACCCATTCAAAAAGGATATTTCACTAGAATTAAATTAGAAATTGATTTTATTGTGAAAAGTGGGCTTTAATACCAAAATGAAGCAGGCTGTGTAGTTCCTGGATGGATTACGCCACACAAGCAATGGCCACTGAGATTCAATCATTTATACTCAAAAATCTCCAGTTGTAAATATGTCAAAAATAAAGAGTGACTGAAAAAAGCGAAAAATGGAGACAAGCAGGAATGAATAAGAATCATGTATTATTTATTACTTATACGTTTATTTTTTCTTTCGAAATAGTGTGATTCATGTAAGTGACTAATATAGTTTTTGTAATTTTATTTATTGATTTATGCATATTTGGTTATGTATTTATGGATAGATGGGTTCTGTTTTGCTCAAAATCCAAATAAAACAAAATAGAAAAGGCAATAAAAACAATGAGTCTACAGCGAAACCACTTTTAATGAAGAAAACATTTCATGTGAATGTTTGCTTTTAAAATTCCATGCTTAAAATTTGCAACGAATATTCATGTAATTCATGTAAAAAGGGATAATTCTAATATTTTATTTGTTTTGAGATCAATACTGTTTGCATGGGGGGGAAATCCTGCAAGTAACTTTATCTTTTCATGCATTTAAAATCAACATGAAATAGCATTCAGACCCATTTTACTTCTATAAGGTGTTTATTTGAGTGAAACAGGATATTTCAGTTGAAATAAATCCAATAGGAATAGATTTTATTGTGAAAGTTAGCTGTTCAGTACCAAAACAAACCAGGTTGTGTACTTCCTAGATGGGTTATGTCACACAAGCAACAGCCATTGAGATTTGCTGATTTATACTCCAAAATCTCCTATTGTAAATACGTGAAAAAATAAAGAGTAATGGAAAAAGGAGCAAAAAAGCAGGAATGAATGAGAATGTGCAATATCCAGCAGTAACAACAGGAAAAGTGTGCGTAAATGTGTATTTGAGTATTGTGGGAGTAGGTAAAGTGTCCACTGTGTATGTGTGTGATATTTGTACCTTGCGGACAAAAGAGAGAGAGATAAAAGACAGAGAGGAAAAAAAGGAAGAACAGAAGGTTTGAGTGAAAGCGTTTTCCTATGAAACACATCATCACACCAGCTGCAGCTCAGCGTCTGTGCTTATACACTGCAGATGAGTCTCATCTACATGAAAATTACACACACAAACCAAACATACACCAATCCACACAATCAATCTCTTTGATGTGACACCAATAACGAAAGGAAACAAGAGCATGTTTTTCTTTATTTCCATGTGCGCTCAAAGGAAACCCCTTTTTTTTCATGGTGTGCATAATGGTTACTGTGCTGTAATTGAGTTACAGTGTAATAATTCTAGTCCTCTGATAGCATCTTACTCTTAACATGAAAAATTCCCTCTTGGAAACTCAATTAAATGCAATATGGCCATATCGAATTTAGTCGTGCAGAGGATTCGAGCAGATGTTGCAAACTAGAGGAAGTAGTTTCAGCAAGTTACAGTAGTAGACCCCCCAAAATTTAGAAACTTAAAGGAATAGTTCACCCAAAAATGAAAATTTGCTGAAAATGTATTCACCTTCAGGCCATTCAAGATATAGGTGAGTTTGTTTCTTCATCAGAACAGATTTGTAGAAATTTAGCATCACTTGCTCACTATTGGATCCTCTGCAATGAATGGGTGCCGTCAGAATGAGAGTCCAAACAGCTGATGAAAACATCACAATAATCCACAAATAATCTACACCACTCCAGTCCATCAGTTAACATCTTGTGAAGTGAAAAGCTGCATGTTTGTAAGAAAAAGAATCCTTCATTAAGGTCCATAGTCCATAATAACGCTTCCTCCAGTGAAAGTCCATCCCCTGTTGTCTCTCGCATCAAAATCCAAAGAGATATTTGTTTACAACTTTTTTTTTTCTGGACTGTTTTCACTTGTAAATGTACTTGATCGGTGCACATTTCTCTCCTGATTCAGACAAGATGACTTTTTCACTGGACAAAGCAACATAACGAATAGAGGACTCATATTTTAGATGGAAGCAATGGTTTGAAGTTAAAAATGCCTTGATGGATTTGTTTATTATAAGCAGCTTTTCACTTCACAAGACGTTAACTGATGGACTGGAGTGGTATGGATTACTTGTGAATTATTGTGATGTTTTTATCAGCTGTTTGGACTCTCATTCTGACGTCACACATTCACTGCAGAGGATCCATTGGTGAGCCGGTGATGTAATGCTACATTTCTACAAATCTGTTCAACTCCTCTATATCTTGGATGGCCTGAGGCAGAGTAAACTTTCAGCAAATTTCCATTTTTGGGGTGAACTATTACTTTAAGCCAAAATGTACATTCTCACTGTATTAGATACAACATATCAAAGGAACTGGTATTTATTTTAAATAAAGATATTACAAGCACAATTTTCAAGCAAAACATTTCAAGAAAAAGCATATACTTTACTGTAGTCCCTAGTCCAACATCTGACATCTTACCTCAGCTTGAAAGCCCTCTACTAAGATGGCAACCAGTAAATTGAAGAGGACATAATTCCCAAAGGTCATCAAGGCCACAAAGTACAGAGCCGCCCAGGGGGAGGTAGAGGCCATGCCGTTATACAGAACAACATTCCAGTCCTCCTGGGTCAAAATCTGTAGACACAGGACGACTGTTAGCACAAATTGGTGATTTTTAGCACAAATATCACATTTTAAACTACTGTCTTACATTATGAGTAGGTAAATACTGTAGCATTACTGTAGTTTATTGTACCAATAAACACCAAACTTTGTCTAAATGCTATTAAAAACATCAAAATGTTATTTATTGATTACAACAACACCTTTATGTGTACAACATACCTTGAAAGAATCAGTATTTTGGCTATAATGATTAATGGTGTGTTTATATTAACAAAAATATATTTCATTGATATATATATTATTTAAAAACATTAAAAACCAAAACTGAACATTTTATGTAATTAAAGTGCATGACGTATACATTTTATGCCAAATTATTCTGACTTCAGTGAACCTACCTGATTTACAATATTAAATCTACATTGATATAATAATAATAATAATACAAATAAAACAATAATAAAATATGATAAATAAATGATAATAAATTAAAAACTAATAGAAATATTAGTAATTATTACTATTTTATTATTATTGTTATCATTATTATTATTGTTGTTGTTTTTGAATTAAACACAAATTACAAGTTTGTCCAGAATAAAATGTATTTTCTTTAAAAATCCATGCTATTTCCACTAATAAAATATGAACATTATTCTTACTACATCAAACCTATTAGACGTACAATATTTAATCTACAATTATTAATTATATATCACCATCACCACCAACAACAATAACAATGTAATAATACTTTGTATGTATTCAATATTATTATTATTATTATTATTATAAACAAGTAAAACAAATGTAAACTTTCTTTTGGCTCATTTTAAATTCAACTGCTAGTTTGTTTTCACTCCAGCACATTTCACACAGACATCCACAACAGAACCTGAACTCATCTCTGCCTCTTCCTGCAGACTGATTTAGAACTGAGGAAAAACAGCCGCTTCAGTCTGGAGTTTACACACACACACACACACACACACACACACACACACACACACACACACACACACTCCCACCCACACCGACAGAAATAGAGATTAGGGAAATTAAAGGCTCCCGGTACCGAAGAAACCCTGACTCCGATGGCTTCCCTCAGGGCCTGGAGTTAATACAGCACCATATCAGTATTTGCACAAGTGTCACTCCCGGTGACCTCATCACACTACCCAATACTGCAGGGAGAGGTCTGATGACCTCATCATGTCTGCAATAATATAGGGCAGGTTTCGATGACCTCAGCAATTACAACTCTGGCACAACTTGTAGAAGTTTAAATAATCCCAGTCTTAAAAGTCCGACTGACACACACACAAACACATACATTCATATACAGCAAACCTGAGCCGCTGCCTAATAGACAGAGATGACCGCAAGAGGATTTGAGCATTTAGCCGTATTATATAATAATGTTTAGAAGGCAGAACAAAAATATAGGTTTGCTTAAATACTTAACAAACAGTGTAAAACCAAATTATTTAAATAATTGAAATGGCTTCAGAAATGGCTGTTTTGCTCTGACACCCAAGGATTTGTTACTTCATTTAGGGGAGGCTAAATACCCACAATCCCTTGCCTCAGCATTTTTACAAAATGCTGCTGTTCCTACATTGAGGAGTGAGTATTTATTTCAAAACTTGCCTCTGAAGACTAAAAATGCTATTTCTGGACTATGAATACAACCCTCTGTAAGATTTTAATGAGTTCAACCGTCAGTTTAGTGACCGACAAACTCTTGGTGGTCAGCAAAATGTGCGGATTTCAGGAACAGCAACTTCAAAAACTAGTTGTGTATTGTTTTATCTTTCATTAAAGAGGACCTTTGTTACTTAAGCACAAAAAATACAGTGCCGTGAGTATTTAAGACATACTGCTGCTGCACAAATAGCATATAAAATAACCCCGTAGCAGATCTATACGGGTGGAGCTGGGGAAGGTGGAGGGTTTCAGAGAACTCTGAAAGCACGCTGCAGGAATCTCAAGTGAATGCTAGCCAGCCATATAAATGCAAGGCAGTAAGCTCATTGGCTGCATATGCAGCATGAACCGATCAGCTTGTGCCAAGTCGTTTAACTCTCTGAATATCATCAAGTTACGTTAACACCCCGTCAGCCTGCGCCATCTAGAGTTTCATGACTGAACTATATTTCACCCTGAAGTATTTCTACCTGTTATCAGAATATAACATCCATATATTGCTTATTAAATAGTGTTTTAGGGACAATCTTCTGACCTGGAACACGGTGACGATGGCCCAGAGAAGTGAGTCAAAGTTCTTCCTGTCCGACACAGTGTCTCCATTCTCCAACCGCAGAGTAAACTTACACCCAAACAGATGCATTCCCAATATACTAAAACACAGAAGACAAGAGAAAAAAAGGGAGTGACAGACATGAGAAAAGGTTGCAAAACTAAAAACATATACTGCATTAAATGTAAGAATATCAGGGTTATTCCTAGGTAACAGTGACATTTGACTCCAACTTACAACTGATATAATAATTATTATAATACAGAAGTTTAGTCAGATTATTTGAAAGAGCTGTTTAGTTTTTTTTAATTAAAATTGCAAGTTCCCTTTCATCCCTATTACATTTTAATGTGTTATTAACAAAGAAATAAAAGAATTGAGTTTTTATTGAAACTAAAATATCATACTTTCACTGTCAAATGTATTTATTTTCCTAAAAATACTATGTAAAAGGCTGACATGTGCTAGTTATGGGTGAAATTATCCATTATCACAATGTACACTAAAGGTGAATACATATTATGTATTATGATTACTTGACTTTATTATCATTAAATTAATTTAAAGCTATTAAAAAACAATCATTACTTTTTCCCTCAGTAAACTCTTGCTTATTAATAGTTAGTAAGGTAGTTGTTAAGTTTAGGTATGGGGTGGATAAAGGGACCTAAAATATGGCCATGCAGAATATGTGCTTTACAGATACTAATATCCAATATCTGCATGCTAATAAGCAACTAGTTAAAAGCGAGAATTGGACCGTAAAATAAAGTGTTACCAAAGAAACTTACTTCATTTCAGCTATGCAAAGGCAACATTTCTCATTTTTTTGTTTAGTTTAAGTTGAAAGTACTCAAATAACTAAAACTAAATGAATTAAAACTAAAAACTAAAATCAACAAAATTACTAAAATTTGAAATAAAAAAAAAAAATAAAAAAAATATATAAAAAACTAATTCAAAATCTTAAAAAATAAAACAGTATATCAATGTATTAAATAACACTGGTATTATGAGTACATTAATCACAAAATCGCTGTGATGGGATTGAAATAATGAAATAATGTTGAGCTTGGAAAATGCGACTTACTGAGTTCACATTTTAAAATGAAATGAATGACCAATCATATTCCTTCAAAAGTACTGAAAAACCAACTGGGAAATAATAACTAACACTATAGTATAGTAAGGCTCATTTGCTTTCAGTCAGTACTTCTTATATGGAAGAACTTTCATACAAACCTAAAGATGAAGATGAAGAGCATCAGCAGCATGCAGAAGGTGGCCACATTGTCCATGGTCTTCATCAGTACCACCAGCTGCCTGCGCAGAGCCGGGAGGAACCGCACCAGCTTTAACACCCTGAGCAAACGAAACGTCCGCAAAACCGAAAACCCTCCGTCCGCTTGTCCGACGATCTCACACACACTGTAAAACCCAACAGACAGAACGTGTGCGGTCAAAATACACAGTATTTACAACAAATGTACAGCAAACAGAACAGCACAGAACCTGATGATAACGATGATCCCGTCAAAGATGTTGTAGAGGTTGCTGATGTAGTCGAACAAACCGCAGGCCGAAAGCTTCAAGAGCATCTCTAACGCAAACAAACTAGTGAAGACAATATTACTGATCTCCAACACGTCTGTCAGCTCATCTGGCTGAAAGAGAGAACGAATATACAATATTAATCCAGTTTTATGTGATACATCATAGTAACAACTAGTGCTGTCAAACGATTAATCGCGATTAATTGCATCCAAAATAAAAGTTTTTGTTTACATAATATATGTGTGTGCACTGTGTATATTTATTATGTCTATATAAATACACACACATACGTGTATATATTTCAGAAAAATATGTTATGTTTATATATTAAAAATATTTATCTTTAATATCAATTATATAAATATATACATGTAAATACATGTAAATCTTTTAAAAATATATACTGTATGTTTGTGTATTTGTATATACATAATAAATATACACAGTACACACAAATATATTATGTAAACAAAAACTTTTATTTTGGATGCGATTAATCATTTGACAGCACTAGTAATACCTAATGTATATTTATGTGAACCTGTATGTCTACCAGAAAAAAAAAAAGCACACTTCTTCTTAACAAGTCATGTGATCTGAGGCATTCACATCTGTAACACATACGCTGCTAACACGAATGTATACATTACAAAAGCTAAACTACAGTGTTGTTACTGTCATGACATTATATTTATGCTTCTCCTCTTTCTCTCCATGAGGCTTTATTTCTTGCCGAGGAAGAGCAGGCGAGCGCTGTTATTAACCGTGTCTAGTGTAATGTAAATAATCATTTCCCTGGCAACAGTGTGAATGTCCTCAAACCGGTTAATCTCAGACTCCTCTCAGTCTCACACAGACACACTAATCCTAACCAAGGGGGTTAATTAAATGCAATATGAGCCAAAAACATGCATAGAATCACACCGCAAACACAGCTCTGTGGGATCATGTTGTGTTACAATGAGTGTTTTTGACACTGGCGGATTTATTTGTATGTGCCAGGAAAAAAACAGACACTAGAGGAAAACGGTATTGCTTAAAGTCACAATTTCATTTCAGGAGATGAACTGAGGTATTCATTATGGTGGTTTCTCTTATATGTTAATACATTTCCTCTTACATATTAGATGTTAAACTTACCAGGAGAAAGTATTCTGGGTTTTTAAAGTTTTAAGTAAGTTTTAAATCAACTTACTTTTGAGGCACACAATCAATTTAAATTTGTAAAAAAAACTATAAATTGAATATAAATTTAATCCATTTGAATTAGGCCAACATGAATTTTTGGTCACAAACAAATTGCACAGATGCAATGGATTCAGATCCAAAATGACACAGACACACTGGAAATTGCAAGTGTTATTATTTTTTAATCTAACATCATCCATCCATTTAATTACATAATTTATTTAGGTACTCAACTAAAGCTTAGTCCTCATTTTCAACTGGAACAAATCCTTTTAAACATAATATTTCCCTTTAAAAATTGCTATTCCTATTCCTACTACTAATATATTATTATTATTATTATATGTTCAAAAAGATTTGTTCTGGTGTTGCTTTATTGAAAATAAGGATTAAGCTTTTGTAGAGTACTATATTAAATAATAATAATAATAATAATAATAATAATAATAATAATAATTAGTATTATTATTATTTAATTATAAT